ACAAACATTGCTTTTTATATATGAAGATATATTTTCAGCAGTGAGATACCATCAAATCTCATGCCTATGCGTTAGGGTATACTGGGGAGGGTATCACATGATTAAAGGTTTAAAATATGCACGTACAGCTAGCATTGTTATCATTAGTAACTGGGAGCTTTCACATATAACAGTTTCTGAATCAGTGGCGCAATCATGAAGCGAGCGTTCTTTTTCACGACGTTAATCGAGTGGTGTATTTGTAATAAATATAAACAGTGATAAAAAATGGTAGAATTTTTTCTTATTTTTCGACAGTGGAAAATGTAATCGGGGCCGCGTTAGCACATTCGACACGATGCTCGCTTTCAAACCCAGCTGCGACTCGCTGCAGCCACGGTCGGTGTTCGAAACCAGGCGGTTCCCGGGGTTCACCCAGCCTCTAGGAAATGGGTACCAGAGTGACACTCTGTGGTAAACGGAGGAACGTCGCTGTAGCTACAGAGTTACTTGCGGACAGCGACACAGGCGGACAATTCTTATCAGCTGTCCGTACTGGTGGCAGAGCACTTATGGTTTATAACTGTGTGCAATGACGCTGGTTCACATCTCCCGACTTTACCTTTTTTTTTTACATCCGTTACATGCGCACCTCACCAGTGATTTGTGTGTGTGTGTGTGTGTGTGTGTGTGTGTGTGTGTGTGTGTCTGCATGCGCATGGAAATGTATTTATGTGTGTGAAAGTACGTATTTACTATGCGGATCTACACTAAGGCAACACTAACAGTTGATGCAGTTACAGCACGTGTATGTGGGTGTGTGCGGTTGCGTTGTAACTGGGGTATCACTGTAATGCTGGTTGTTTGTAGAATGATTGGCTTACGCTGTGTGATTTGCAGTAACAAGCTGTTGTTTAATAACTGAATTATGTTCTTATATATTTCATTATTGTGTTTCTATACCTGACTGTGCACCGAACGACACTTTTGCACCATCTGGGAAGCTATTTCAAAATTTAGGTAATTGCAGTATAGCTGAATCATATAGTTACTTTGTCAGTTACGATGCATCGGTAAGCGCTGAAGTCGATGCTGTTAGCGCACATCTGTGACAAGTTAGCAACAGTTTGAAACGAAAGAGAAAAATGATAACCGCTCTGGCTAAATTACAGTTCATATGCAAAGCGCAAAAGGTTGTATGAATGTTTAAATAGTATATCAAAGGTCTCTTTTCCACGCCTTTAGACGTATTGGATATATAGGTATAGAAGTATATTTTTATAGACCAATCGACGTTGTTTATATACTGTTTAAAAAACAAAAACAAAAAATGCAGTTATCCAATGGGACGGTTTTATTAGTACACTAGAAAACCTGCATATCTTTACACTATCGATGACGTAGATGCATACGAACTGTCAGTCGATTGGTTAACCCCTAAGTTATTGAAATTTGAACAGTTCCACTCATTCTGAAAGGTAAAATTGTGACAAAATTATGTTCCTGTCAATAGCTTTGTTTTTATTAATAAAAAAAAAAAAATAGTGTATAAGTTGTATGTGGCTGAGATATCTGCTTCGATTACAACTGCAGACGATATGACAGCAGATCGCTTTGCGTTGGGTTTCAAGAGTGATATCGATAGCTGACCGTTCATGAAACAGGGACAAACTGCTGAACGTAGAATTCTCTGGTATAGTCATAAAAATATGGCTTGTTCAGGAACGTCTGGTAAAGGTCTGGTGGCGCCGTTATACTGCCTAACAGGGCAGCCCAAGAGAAATAAATTTTTAAAGGCAGTGTTTCCAACACGTAAGATAACAGATTTGATTTGTCTTCCGAAGAGATATCTTAGATTAGATCGACTGATCTAGACAGGCTGGGACACTAAGATAGAATACTTCGCGTTACAAACTTGCGACAAAGAAACAACTTTACTAAGACCACAAGTTAACATTAAGAAAAGATGCATACAGTTGTGAATTCTTCCCGCCGCTGTATATCATGTTTAACTATCCCTTTCCTCCTCTACTCACATGTTTTGCTAAGCTCAATCACGTATCCGTTGGCGTCTGTGGCTTAGGCGTTGTGAACGCACTTCATAAGGCCGGGGTGCCGGGTTCGATCTCAGCTGCCGGCTTTGCACCTTGTGTTGGTTTCGACAGTGATATCAAAAAGCCGACCGTACAGAAAGCAGTGGCAAACTACTGGACGTAAACGGGCCTAGAAAAACCACAACAGCAAAAAATGCTGGGGTTGGTTCTGCAACGTCCTGTAAAGGATATGTAACTAACTTAATCAAGTGGCCACACCACTGACACGAACAAGTCCCTCAGTCATACGACAGTAAGTTACAAGGTCAATAAAAACAAATAAAACATCCCGTTAAGAGTAAACACAAACTAGAGCGCATACAGAACGCGGCTATGCAGGTCATTCTGGGTTGCACCAGAGACACCCCAGAGGTGTGTATGCGATACATCCTTGGTTTGCTGACTGTTGCAGGTAGGCACAAGGTTCTGCACGCGAAGTCATATCTCAGGGTAGCTGCAGACACAGACCACCCTTTGCATGAAGCGCTAGGTGCAGTTAAGGGTCAAAGGCTGATAAGAGGGAGTTCATCGTTGGCTCAGGCAGAAGACACAATCAGACAGGTTTGCATCCTTGAGAACATTAGGCGAGGAGAGGAGTGGGTCAAAGTGCCACCTGAACAGTCAGACTTGTGTAGAGTCATAATCACGCTGAGCGGGAATGCAGAGACTGGCCAGCAGGTGCCACAGATGTGGACATTCAGCAATTGATTCAATATAATGCTCGCTCAGAGGATTTGATCATTTACACAGACGATTCAGTGTCAAGAGGCAAAAGAAGTGCTTGGGGCTTCTTAGCAAAAGTTAATGGTCGACGTTTGGTGCAGGAGAGCCTAGCATGAGATACCACAATATCCAGCTTAAGAATGGAGGTGGATACGGTCACTGCAGCCTTCCACTGGCTAGAGAACACGACACACACACATCGTGATTTTAACTGATTAAGAAAGCATGTTAAGGAAGATGATAGCAGGCATACTTTGTGCAGAGTGGCATCCTTCGCAGTAGGACACGGGTGTAGAGTATTGTCTGGATTTTGTCACCGGGGCACGCGGTGTGTTAGGAAATGAACAGGCGGACAGACTGGCTGGCTCTGCACAACTTGGTGGAATACTTATACATGATAAGGCAGACGTGGTTAGTGCATTGTGGGAGAGCGTGTACAGTTCGGAGGAGCAGATGGATCACCACAGTCTGGTGAGATTGATGCAGGGGGGAGTGACGAGAGGTTCTGCTAGATGTTCGAGGTTCAGAGGAAAGGCAAGACGGACGTTTAATCAGAAGCTACTGGCACTATTAGTATCGGAACTCTTCGCTGACTGCTGAATTTAGTGACAGAGCGCTTATGGGAATGTCCTGAGTGCTGTGATGTCGGTTCTTGAATCAAATCAAATCAAATCAATGAAATCGTTAAGAGTAAACATATTTAATGACATCCATTCAGTAACAACACGTAATCAAGAGCATCTAGGTCGGTAAAAATTTGCTTTCGCTCGTCACAAACACATATAATTAATGCTGAATGTGAATGAACAAAAAGTCGACTCATTAGGTATGCTTTCGTTGAGGTCAGAGTGCATCTGTCTGAGAGGGAAGTAACCAGTAGACTGCATACAAATAAGATCTGTAAAACGGATGTATACGCGAAGCTCATGTTCTGGGACAAGAGTGACCAGTGGACAAGCAACAATAACTTTCTGCTGCTTATTTTATAGCCGGCGAACCCCGAAGCAGAGGACGAAGAATTAACAAAACGTGCTGAACACGTGTTGGGTAAATCAGTCCATTGGAGGGTGAAGTTTTGGCGACTTGCTGCAGTCAACCACATTCCTCGTTGAACACAGCAGTCTCTGTATGCCTGAAGCACCAATCTCACAAAAGTATCGCCAAAGGCTCCTACGAAATAGACACGACTGTTCCGACCGATGTCCGATTTACCAGCTCTAAAGGTCAGGGAATAGTGATTCCCAGTCTACGAGAGGTTGTTTACTGGCCGAGATCCATTGACACCTTAGTGACAAATAAAAAAAAAAAAGGTAGGGGAAAAACAAAGCAATAATAAATATCCATAGCACCCTCTTAAACAAGGAAAGAACTTCAAGTATTTAGGAACCATAATATCAGCTGGCATATCAAAATTCAGGATCGACAATAGGTGTAATACAGCAAACTAACTTACTGGACTTATGGCTTCAATACTGCGAAACAAACATAGCCCGTGGGGGGGGGGGGGGGGAGGAGGGGAGAGAGAGAGAGCGAGAGAGAGAGAGAGAGAGAGAGAGAGAGAGAGAGAGAAATCCATTAGTGCTGAAATGCGCTTTTTTTTTTTTAAGAATAACGTTCGACATATCAAGAAAAAAGGTTAAATATGACGAAAATCCGAAAAAAAAGGGGATTTGAAGTAGCAGCTCTAGATTTCATTACAAAAAATTACAGGCGAAGCGGATCGTTCATTTAACTGAATTGCTGAGAAGTATAATACAATAAGCAGTTGCGTACAGACCAAGCAGGGATTAGTAGAAAGGTCTGCAGGCAAACAATAAACTAGAAGGAATAGAAGGAAAATAGAAGGAAGAACAGATTTCCCGGTAGACCTAAATATCCTTTCTTCCTCGTGTTCCCCGGCTGTAAACTCCGGTGGAAAGTTCTGGCTGTTTGTCCACCTCTTGTCTGTAGTCTTTCTCCAGAACCTGAGTGTTTATACTGCTTCAGCGGCGCAAGGTGTGAGATGCTGATGATAATCATGATGGTCAATAAATTGATTCGTTTATATGACATTATTGCAGAATTTTAACATTTTTAACCACGTCACACAATTCTAAAAACTACCATAACGATTTTTGATTAATTTCTTCTTTCAGGCCTTTCCAACTGAAGTTATTTATGTAAGCTGTTGAGGCCTCCTCAAGCAAATAGCCAGTACTACAGATAATGCCTTCAGCAGGACGGCAGTTCGTCCTTGGCGTGGCAGTGGGTCTCACAGTAGCCTTTGTTGTGGTCAGTTTTAACGTGCTCACATACAACCCGGTGCACAAAGCCGCAGTCCAGTCCTACCACGATGATGTGTATAAACATATGGCAAGCATGTCTAAAGATAGAGTGCTCTTGGTGAACGACACACACATGCACCACGGTAACACACGTGTGGTATCTGTCAGTGTTGTTCTGTGGGGTAGAAGTTGTTATAGATGTGCTATCAGTGTTGTTTTATGGAGTAGAAGTTGTTATAGATGTGCTGTCAGTGTTGTTCTGTGGAGTAGAAGTTGTTATAAAAGTGCTGTCAGTGTTGTTCTGTGGAATAGAAGTTGTTATAAAAGTGCTGTCAGTGTTGTTTTGTGGGGTAGAAGTTGTTATAAATGTGCTGTCAGTGTTGTTCTGTGGAATAGAAGCTGTTATAAATGTGCTGTCAGTGTTGTTTTGTGGAGTAGAAGCTGTTACAGATGTGCTGTCAGTGTCGTTCTGTGGAGTAGAAGTTGTTATAGATGTGCTGTCAGTGTTGTTCTGTGAAGTAGAAATTGTTATAAATGTGCTGTCAGTGTTGTTTTGTGGAGTAGAAGCTGTTACAGATGTGCTGTCAGTGTCGTTCTGTGGAGTAGAAGTTGTTATAGATGTGCTGTCAGTGTTGTTCTGTGGAGTAGAAGTTGTTATAAATGTGCTGTCAGTGTTGTTCTGTGGAGTAGAAGTTGTTATAGATGTGCTGTCAGTGTTGTTCTATGAAGTAGAAGCTGTTATAGATGTGCTGTCAGTGTTGTTCTGTGGAGTAGAAGCTTTTATAGATGTGCTGTCAGTGTTGTTCTGTGAAATAGAAGCTGTTATAGATGTGCTGTCAGTGTTGTTCTGTGGAGTAGAAGCTGTTACAGATGTGCTGTCAGTGTTGTTCTGTGGAGTAGAAGATGTTATAAATGTGCTGTCGGTGTTGTTCTGTGGAATAGAAGCTGTTATAAAAGTGCTGTCAGTGTTGTTCTGTGGAATAGAAGTTGTTATAAATGTGCTATCGTGCTGTTCTGTGGAGTAGAAGTTGTTATAGATGTGCTGTCAGTGTTGTTCTGTGGAGTAGAACTTTTTATAAAAGTGCTGTCAATGTTGTTCTGTGGAGTAGAAGTTGTTATAAAAGTGCTGTCAGTGTTGTTCTGTGGAATAGAAGTTGTTATAAAAGTGCTGTCAGTGTTGTTTTGTGGGGTAGAAGTTGTTATAAATGTGCTGTCAGTGTTTTTCTGTGGAATAGAAGCTGTTATAAATGTGCTGTCAGTGTTGTTTTGTGGAGTAGAAGCTGTTACAGATGTACTGTCAGTGTTGTTCTGTAAAGTAGAAGTTGTTATAAATGTGCTGTCAGTGTTGTTCTGTGGAGTAGAAGTTGTTATAAATGTGCTATCGTGCTGTTCTGTGGAGTAGAAGTTGTTATAGATGTGCTGTCAGTGTTGTTCTGTGGAGTAGAAGTTGTTATAAAAGTGCTGTCAATGTTGTTCTGTGGAGTAGAACTTTTTATAAAAGTGCTGTCAATGTTGTTCTGTGGAGTAGAAGTTGTTATAAAAGTGCTGTCAGTGTTGTTCTGTGGAATATAAGTTGTTATAAAAGTGCTGTCAGTGTTGTTTTGTGGGGTAGAAGTTGTTATAAATGTGCTGTCAGTGTTTTTCTGTGGAATAGAAGCTGTTATAAATGTGCTGTCAGTGTTGTTTTGTGGAGTAGAAGCTGTTACAGATGTGCTGTCAGTGTTGTTCTGTGGTGTAGAAGCTTTTATAAATGTGCTGTCAGTGTTGTTTTGTGGAGTAGAAGCTGTTACAGATGTGCTGTCAGTGTCGTTCTGTGGAGTAGAAGTTGTTATAGATGTGCTGTCAGTGTTGTTCTGTGAAGTAGAAATTGTTATAAATGTGCTGTCAGTGTTGTTCTGTGAAGTAGAAGCTGTTATAAAAGTGCTGTCAGTGTTGTTCTGTAAAGTAGAAATTGTTATAAATGTGCTGTCAGTGTTGTTCTGTGGAGTAGAAGTTGTTATAGATGTGCTGTCAGTGTTGTTCTATGAAGTACAAGCTGTTATAGATGTGCTGTCAGTGTTGTTCTGTGGAGTAGAAGCTTTTATAGGTGTGCTGTCAGTGTTGTTCTGTGAAATAGAAGCTGTTATAGATGTGCTGTCAGTGTTGTTCTGTGGAGTAGAAGATGTTATAAATATGCTGTCGGTGTTGTTCTGTGGAATAGAAGCTGTTATAAAAGTGCTGTCAGTGTTGTTCTGTGGAATAGAAGTTGTTATAAATGTGCTATCGTGCTGTTCTGTGGAGTAGAAGTTGTTATAGATGTGCTGTCAGTGTTGTTCTGTGGAGTAGAAGTTGTTATAAAAGTGCTGTCAATGTTGTTCTGTGGGGTAGAACTTTTTATAAAAGTGCTGTCAATGTTGTTCTGTGGAGTAGAAGTTGTTATAAATGTGCTGTCAGTGTTGTTCTGTGGAGTAGAAGTTGTTATAAAAGTGCTGTCAATGTTGTTCTGTGGAGTAGAACGTTTTATAAAAGTGCTGTCAATGTTGTTCTGTGGAGTAGAAGTTGTTATAAAAGTGCTGTCAGTGTTGTTCTGTGGAACAGAAGTTGTTATAAAAGTGCTGTCAATGTTGTTTTGTGGGGTAGAAGTTGTTATAAATGTGCTGTCAGTGTTGTTCTGTGGAGTAGAAGCTGTTATAAATGTGCTGTCGGTGTTGTTCTGTGGAGTAGAAGCTGTTATAAATGTGCTGTCGGTGTTGTTCTGTGGAATAGAAGCTGTTATAAAAGTGCTGTCAGTGTTGTTCTGTGGAATAGAAGTTGTTATAAATGTGCTATCGTGCTGTTCTGTGGAGTAGAAGTTGTTATAGATGTGCTGTCATTGTTGTTCTGTGGAGTAGAAGTTGTTATAAATGTGCTGTCGGTGTTGTTTTGTTGAGTAGAAGCTGTTATAAAAGTGCTCTCAGTGTTGTTCTGTGGAATAGAAGTTGTTATAAATGTGCTATCGTGCTGTTCTATGGAGTAAAAGTTGTTATAGATGTGCTGTCAGTGTTGTTCTGTGGAGTAGAAGTTGTTATAAAAGTACTGTCAGTGTTGTTCTGTGGAGTAGAAGTTGTTATAAATGTGCTGTCAGTGTTGTTCTGTGGAGTAGAAGTTGTTATAAAAGTACTGTCAGTGTTGTTCTGTGGAGTAGAAGTTGTTATAAATGTGCTGTCAGTGTTGTTCTGTGGAGTAGAAGTTGTAATAAAAGTGCTGTCAGTGTTGTTCTGTGGAGTAGACGTTGTTATAGATGTGCTGTTATTGTTGTTCTATGGAGTAGAAGTTGTTATAAATGTGCTGTCGGTGTTGTTCTGTGGAGTAGAAGTTGTTATAAATGTGCTGTCAGTGTTGTTCTGTGGAGTAGAAGTTGTTATAGATGTGCTGTCAGTGTTGTTCTGTGGAGTAGAAGTTGTTATAGATGTGATGTTGTGTTGTTCTGTGGAGTTTGTTGACATCTTTTTTTTAGTTGTTATATTGCGCTATGAGGAATAGGACTCACTGCCAGTGACGATGGCGAGTGTGACTCGCAAGACCCCCTCGAATTAAGAAAATCTTTCAGTTATATCATGGGATTTCAGCGCGGTTGTTGGCATCGTTTGTATTTGGTGTATTTATTCTCAGGCGCCTCATCCTTGTGCAGCCGTTTCCCCGATTTATTGTTTAACGTACTATTACGTCGATGACATAAATACCCCATTTATTCTATAGTGTACCGTTACACCAGTTTTATTCTGTAACGCACTTTTGCGTCGGTCACATGTGTGCCCAGTTTATTCACTAGTGTACTGTTGCATCGGCCACATATGTCCTCAGTTTATTCAGTAGTGTACTTTTACACCAGTCACATAAATACCCTATTTATTCTTTAGTGTACTGTTGCATCGGTCACATAAATACCCCATTTATTCTATAGTGTAATGCTACATCGATCACATAAATACCCTATTTATTCTATAGTGTACTGATACGTCGATCACATAAATACCCTATTTATTCTATAGTGTACTGTAACGTCGATTACATAAATACCCTATATATTCCATAGTGTACTGTTACATCGGTCATATAAATACCCCATTTATTCTATAGTGTAATGCTACATCGATCACGTAAATACCCTATTTATTCTATAGTGTACTGTTACGTCGATCACATAAATATCCTATTTATTCTATAGTGTACTGTTACGTCGATCACATAAATACCCAATTTATTCTATGATGTAGTCGGCTCTGTGGCTAAGTTGATGCGAACGCTTCGCTGGTTCGATCCCAGCTGCGGGCAATGCGCCTTTCGTTGTTTTCTACATTGGTATCAAGAAAGCCGACCGTCCAGAAACAATGGCAAACTACTGGACGTAAATTTGCCTAGAAAAACCACACAACAACCAGGGGCTGCTAGGGTTAGTTCTGCAACGTCCTGTAAAGGATACGCAACAACCTTATTCTATGGTGTACTGTTATATCGATCACATAAATCCCCGATTTATTCTATAGTGTACCACCGGTCACGCCAATCCCCGATTTATTCTGTAGTGATGTATTACATCGGTCAGACCAATCGTCAATTAGTACAGAATCCAGATGATACCTGTTGGATCTGGTTACATTATTTAGGCACCATTAGTGTACCAGTCACAGAGTTTTAGTGTTTACAGAAAACAAACATAGGTTGGGGATGGCGGGGGATTAGAAGGGATCCGCTTCTGACATTCGGGGCTCTACGTAAATATCTTGGCGGCTGTCTGGCTTGGAGGTCTCGGGTTCAGATCCGCATCTTGGCTGGTTAACACAAATAATTGTTTTATATTACATATAATTAATTTAAACGTCAAATATATTTTTTTCTCTGGCAAATCGATTCTCTTTTTCAAAAATGACATTGCCTCCCCGGTTGACCTAGCCTTGAGTGGGTAATGGGTGCAATCCCGGGAAGTAAAGACGGCCGGCGTAGTGCTGACCTCAGCTCCCAAAAATAGGTCTAGCCCTATATGCCCTACAGCCTAAAGACGTGGACAAGGGACCTTTACTTTTTACTTACTTTTTTAAAAAGTCCCTTTTCATACACAGACTATCATGGGCCCGTGTGCTTGTGGGACTCGCGACCATGTGCCCTGGGGGGGGGGGGGGGGGTC